GATCATGTGACATGTCAGTCCTGAGTTCCTCTATCTTCTTCCTAGCAGGGTAGAAGGGTTCTTCGTTGGGTTTCCACATTGACATGGACACTGTTTGTTGGCTTTCCAGTGGCAGGGTCCTTTCAAGCTCCGGGAGTGATGACATCACTAAAAGGTGAGCGGCGAGCATGGACATAGACTGCAGCGCTGGACTGACCGGTCCTCACTCCAGGGAGTTAGGCGAGTATAACAAACTCTTCTGAAGTTATGTATCATTGTAGTGACTGGTAAATGGATGGAAGTGGTGGGAGGGGGGTAGAGCTTGGCCCAGAGGTGGGCTTTATATATATTTATGTACGTAGGGGCAGGGGCAGCCAAACTTGCTCATTACTAGGGAAGTTTTGGGGTGCTATTTTGGCTAAAATCCATTGGAGTCAATAGTGAAGGTGAATGCAAAGTGTTTTTTTTGGTGGTTTTAAAGGGTGCATTTGGCTTTAAATGACTCATGAGCATCAGTGAAGTCCCTCTTACAATGGAATGTTAGGCTAAATGATTGCTTTACATTCTACACTGTGCTCTGTTTCTCTAAAAAAAAAAGTTCCAGTTTAATTCTACTTCCGGCCTGACACAGAAAGCCGCCGCGCCGCATTGCGGCATCTACAAAAATTCTTGCCAAAATTTCCAGTACAAAATTGGAGAAAAGGTCTATGAATTGGAGCTGGCACCTGCCCTACAGCGATGGCTGGGATACTTTCCGATGTAAGAAGGTGAAATGAGCAGGTCAATGGCCCAGAACGTCTCCTCTATAATAATTCATTCGGCCCCTTTACTAAACGGGCCCCCACGTAGCCCCCGCCGAGCGGGTTGGGTGTACAGTGACCGATGAAGGCTATTTGTGAAGTGATGGATTGTCCTCCCTCCGCCGGCCCTGTGATTGTGATCTAATGGCTCGGGGAAGATTAATATGATTATCTGCGCTGCCTGGCTGGCTTGCTGGGATAAGTGAATGAGATGCGGAGTTAGTTATCTGTCTGCCTGGGGCTCATCGGCAGCTTTGCATGGTG